CGTTCTGTGTAATCTAGTAAAACTTAGTAAATGGCAAATAAACTCTTTCTATGCGAATTGAATGGAAACTTCATAGTATACAAATATTAAATTTATGGACCTTTATCAATATATCAGCCAGTAACGTATTTCCAGATTAACGTTTAAATTTTGAAATTTATTAGGCTAAGAGCAATATTATGAATTTTGTTAGCAAAGTTTCATATATCAAAATCTCATCCCAAACGTACTTTAATAACAAAGAGCTATACTCCAGATTATATAATATATGTACATAAATATAAATGAATCAAATATCAGTTTAACACTTTTTTTTTCATAGATACAGCTTGTTTTGCAATTGAAAGTATGCCATAAAATATTCCAGTCATGTTGTTATACTCGCCCTATCTATGGATTTTGTTCCCGGTGAGACAGTGGTAAGTTTACGGATTTTACAATAAGGGGCTCGATTCCCCGCGGCAGACACAGTAGATAGCCCCATGTGACTTTGCTCTAAATTAAACTACGGATGTTCGTAAGATCGAGTAACTTGTGAAGTATCAAGTTTGTTAGTTTGTTTCATAATTTTCACACAAAGGTCACAGCCGTCCCTAATAGACTAGAAGGGAGGCATTTAATCAACAGCATCCACTGCCAACTCCTCGGCTACTTCTGTCTATTCAAATAGTGGTATTTGACAGTGGCGTAGCAAGGGTTCTCAGCACCAGGGGGCAAATACACTTTTGGTGCCCCCACCTCTGAAATGTTTTCATTATTTGTTTTGTGACTCATTACCCACTTAATGACAATAACATAAAGAATTAATTACCGCCTCACACAGGCCTAAAATAAAGTCACAATATAACATCTTACGATATCACAACTGTAAATCTGTGTTACGCCTCCAGTCGTTAGTTAATTTTCCGTAAATTCGTTCCGACGAAACCCCAGCTACACAAGTCCTTTCTTAAATAAAACTGGTTTATTCTTTCCGAATACAACTTTACGATACACTTAATTTCAACAGTCGCTCTATAACAACGCTATGACTCACGTCTCACGTGGCCAATAATATTTTATCCGCATACATTCAATTACTCATTACCTCTGTTGTCCCGTCACGTTGTGACCGTCTTATATATATAAAAGACTACACTATATCTGGAAAGATCACGAGATTTAAGGAAAAGACGTGAAAGTTCGAGAATGACGTGGCGTGATACTAGTCACGTGACCTCGATGTCGTAACACCTGGAACTAATGAAGTATAGCCTACTAGGTGTATTAACATAATTTGTAAACCATTTTAATATTTATGTCACCCAGTATTGTTCAAACTCACATAGCTAGAGTAATCTTTCAAGCATGCAGACTAAATTTCTGTTATATCCCTAGTTTTGAAACTTATGTTTCGTATGAGAAGCCAGTCACTTGCGGTGTACATGGATTATAAAACAGATTGATAAAATACTACTTAAGTTTACAAATAACAAATTTTGTTAGTTCACAAAACTGTACATATACTTAACTAGATCTTGACAGGTAGCATTCTGGTATTCATGGTTACATTATATGAATCTTTTGTGCAAATGCATCAATTAAACTATCAATATTTAAGGTAATAACTACATCTTTTTCAATACTTAATATTGCCAAGTTACTAAATCGTTCTTGAGTCGTTGAGGTTCTCATGTATGTAAGAATTAATTTCAGCTTGCTGAAGGACCTTTCACAACTAGTAATAGAAACCACAATTGTTAACAAAATCTGCAATGTAATTCTTAAATTTGGGAAAACATCTTCACCATATGAAATTATAAATGTTAACAAATCAGTTGCAACCATTGGTTCAGGAAAATCGGTCTGTGTTCTTTTACTTATCAACATTTTACAGTCTTTAATTTCTCTGTACAACTCTGGTCCATCAATATCACCTGGATAGCTCTTTGCTAAGTCAGAACATTTTTCTTGCAATTTTTTGTCTTCGAAATCTCCAGAAACAATATTTTTGCACATCTACTAAAAATCCAAACCGTGA